CCTTTTTGAAGTCGGTAGAAAATTATTAACGTCTTATTTTTTCTTTTGATGGGTAAAAATGGTATGGTAACCCCGTCTGCGCTAACGGGATACACTTGCGGAGCACCAGTGAAGAGTGATAGATGAGACTGAAAACAGGCCAGTTAGCCCATCATGATGAATTCATCAGGAATTAACCATGATAGTTTCCAGGGAGAATCGCGAGGAGGCCGACCTGGTTGGGTATATTGCTAGCAATGTTATTCTCAGTCTCCATTACTAATAATATCTTTTCCCCCATTAACGTCTTATTGTAGATTAACGTGAAATTAGTTTTACAGCATAGAATATATTGGCCACAACAGAATATCAGTGTTTTGCTCTTTTTTTAAAGGCCAAGTAGTAAACTAAGTTGTGACTATTTTATACTATTGTGGCAAATGCACGAAATGAAAATTTATGTTACTTCTTGTATGTATATTCCTTTTTTTTTGTATATGTATTCATTTATATCTTGCCTTTGTGTATGTATCAAAACGTGTTTCAATCGTGGAGCAGTTGTGTTTGCATGGCTGTGTTTCGGTTTGAAGGGTGGGATATGGCGTGAATTTACTGGGTACAGAAGAATAACACCTCCTAACAAGTCCTCAGGAATGGCAACGCATGGAGGGTATCATGGACATAACAGAGTATACTCCATGGTATTGCTCATGTCTATAGGCGACGGTTATCATTTTCCATCAGGTGGGCCGTCAGCTTGTTTGCCATTCTATGTTGTATAAAAAAAAATGTATGATTATTTGAAAGCTGAAAATAGCATTTCTTTTCTATTTCATATATATGCCATTCCTGTTATATGTACCAATTTGTATATGTATGTATCCATGTATGTAATTTCCACTTCGATTCCACGTTATCCGCTCTGCCTGATAGAGTTGTATAACGGCTTATTGGCTGACATGATGTTCTCCAAGCATTTTCAATATATATTCTTCAATAAATACATCTATATTTCTGTGTTCCGTAGGATTATGGGATCATAAGAAAAGATTGATTTAAAATGTTTGTGAATTTCGTATTCACAAATTAAGATTATTTCTTCATCTATAACAGAAAAGTATTGCACTCTTTTAATTTTGTCATCTTTGATTATTCGAGGTTAACAAATTTTGTATTTTATGAAAATAAATTTTTTTTTTTATACAACTTAGAATGGCAAACAAGCTGACGGCCCACCTGATGGAAAGTGGTAACCGTAGCCTATAGACATGAGCAGTACCATGGACAAAACAGAGTATACTGTTTCGCCCATGATACCCCCCATGCGTTGCCATTCCTAAGGACTCAGGTATTATTCCTCTGTATCCAGTAAATTCACGCCATATCCCACCCATCAAACCGAAACACAGCCATGCAAACACAACTGCTTCACGGTTGAAACACGAATGGGACAGACGTACCCAAGCAATTGACTTTTGTACAAAGTCTCCCTCTGGTATATAATAATTCTTATTACAGAAACATAAATAAATTTTATTAATATTTCAAATGCTGATCCACCTGCCAAGCGTGGCGACTACTGGCAAACTCCTTTTAGGGGAGGTCTATGTACAGTAGTAGATAGTTAACGGCTGATATGATGATGATGATGATGATGATGAATATTTTAAATGCAAAAGTTTATAACAACGGATGGATGAATGTTTGTTATTTTTTCACGCATAAACTACTGAACGGATTAGAATGAAATTTGGTACCTGGATAGGTTATATTCTAATTTAGTATACAAGATACTTTATGTACTTATTGATTCACGTGCGAAGGGCGCAGTATATACTTAGTATAAATATAATTTTTAAAAGATGGACGCCACATTTCTCCTTAGTATGGTACTAGATGATATCTGTTAAACATACATATAATAAATTTTTTTTGGACGTAAAATCCAAACATGCTATGGTCTATTATGGGTAGCGGTAATCGTCGCCAATAGGTATGAATAGAATCATTACTATCACAGTATACACTGTGACATCTATGGTACCTTCATGTGTTACCATTCATGAGAACTATAGTCTTATGCCTCTATACCTTGTATTTACACTGCCACATCCCACACTTCAAACCGAAATGACTTACGAAACCGAAACGAGATCCTACACGATCGCCCGTATGCAAAAGCTACAAGTTACTCAGCGGGATATGGAGAGGGCTATGCTCGGAGTCTCTCTGCGTGATAGAATCCGAAACGAGTATATCCGCAAAAGAACCAAAATAACCGACATAGCCCGAAGGATAAGCAAGCTGAAGTGGCAATAGGCTGGTTATATAGCTCGAAGAACTGACAACCGATGGGGAAGAAAGGTTCTTAAGTAGCTATCACGTACGGGTAAACACAGTGTAGGACGACCTCCCACTACATGGAGTGACAACTTGAAATGCGTTTCAGGGAGTCAGTGGATGCAGTTGACTCAGGACCGTTCTTTATGACAGCCTATGGGGAAGGCTTATGTCCAGCAGTGGACGGATAATAGCTGAAATGATGACCATGATGATCCAAGCAAATGATTTTTGTACAAATCTCTCACTGTCAGATAAAACAAAAAATAAAAAAGAAACCAGGATAATCTCGTTTAATTATCAAACAAAGCGTTTTATTTTGTCTTTAACGAAGTACAGTGTACAGCGAAATTAAACTATGTAATTTCTACCATTGAAAGCTCTAAAACTCCCTTTGACCAGATTCAAACCCGTTTAAAGTTCGCTTTAATGGAGGTACGTAGTTACAGGGCTTAAGTAGCGGGACCACTTTACATAATAATTTAGAGGGCAAGGCGACGTGGGCCGAGTGGGTTAATAAGGTCATATTTGAGAACGAAGGACTCAAAATAGTAGACACAAAGTCAATTACAATGTTTTAAATAATGTCTAATAACTTATTTGAAGATATATTTAGTATTGTAATACGTTATTTCTTGTCAAATGTGTGAAAACATTATGTTAAGATTGTAATATAATAAACAATTAGCTTTTACTTACTTACTTGCGACTTTGTCCGCGTGATCGGGACATGTTCACTTACTTATCCTTCGGTCTATGTCGGTTAATTTGGTTTTTTTGCGGATATTCTCGTTTCGGATTCTATCATGCAAAAAGACTCCGAGCATAGCCCTCTTCATAGGGGGGAAAGGGATTGTTAGTAATGGAGACTGAGAATCCCATTGCTAGCAATATACCCAACCAGGTCGACCTCCTCGCAGTTCCCCCTGGAAACTATCATGGTTAATTCCTGATGAATTCATCATGATGGACTAACTGGTCTGTTTTCATTCTCATCGACCACCCTTCACTGGTGCTCCGCCAGCGTATCTCGTTAGCGCAGGCGGGGTTACTATACCATTTTCATCCATAAAAAAAAGCCATCTCTGTAGTCCACTAAATAACTTGAAGCTTTTGTATACGGGCAATCGTGTAGAACCATGTTTCGGTTCCATAAGCCATTACTGGCAACACGCACTAGTTAAAGGTTATAAAATATAGGTAAACAAAAATCTGTGGAAATGTATTCTAACTTGGATAGATGAATTCCAAACTAAACCTACGGCCTACAATCTTTAGAATCGCTGTTTTTGTGTCTAACTTTAATTACTTATAATTACCCAATACGGTATTTTCATAAAAGGAAATTAAATATTAGTCCATTGTATGTAATCTGAAACACGTACACTCCGCTCGGTCCATTAAGCAGTTGTTATTTGTCATTTTTGTGTGAGAAAAACGGAAAACACCTAAGTAAATCAAGGGGTAGCGGTATAAAACGACCACCGCCTCCGCCGTGCGCGACCTAATTTCAGAACACAGAAAATAAACGTTACTTATCCCTTATACTTCTCATTTCAGGTTTTAAAACACCTCGTAAATTTACTCTGTGTATAATTAAAAGTAAACGTGCGAAACGCATAGTATTACAGAGGAGTTTTTTCTAATGTACTCAGGACAGTTAAAATTTTATATGCCTGGAAAAAATATGATTAAAATTTCATTATTCTAACTAGGTCGTCCGTAATTTGGTCTGAGTAAATTTTATTAGGCTTGGGTTAAAAGGGAGGGTATAATATAAGTATGAGGCTTGTATCTGTATGTTGTTTAAGACTGTAAGCAGTCTCTACAGGTCTCTACGGTACTGCAGCATCACAGTTTTTAAACTTTGTAGTTGAGCGACTCTCTGACGATATTATAACCAGGGTTGCCAAATATTACTTAAAAATATAAATGTAAAACTTTAGCATTTGATTTTAATTATGGTTAAATGGCTATATGGATTTAAATGAAATTTAGTACACAAATGAACTATTTTTTGGATCAATAAATAGAATAGAACAGAAAATATTTATTGCTAGAAAAACACATAACAGAAAATTTAGTTATGTATAAGAAGTGTTTCATATTAGGCAAAAGGAACTGGCTCAACTGATGCAGTGAGTGTCCCAGTGCAATGTATACAGCTGCACAGCGCTGGTTTTCAGCCAGTCCCTTTCATAATTTAAATAGAGTGTTTGTACTATTAATTAACGGCGACATATCGCATTATTATCATACAGTCATACGAATGGCGTTATACTCAAGCTAGGTTACCTAATTTTATGAGGAGCTAAGTAATGGACATATAGGAGTACAATTAGACTTCAGCCAATTTAGAATGGTTCATTTCCTAAATTAATAGACCAAGAATCGAACCCGAGACTTTATTATGCAAACCAAAGGACCTGAATTATATAAGCAAGTACAGCTAAATTTTAAAAGCTAGATAGATGTAAAGAAATGATAAGAGTTTCACATTGCTTACTTTATTATGGCACCATAAGGTTCCCGTGTAGTTTTCAGAAGATAATGGTTCTGCACTGGTAGAAAGTTATTTTCTATTATAATATCTGAATAATAGAAAGTAACATTACTCAGCATTATTTTTCTATTAACACCTTTATTACAATTCAATTAAAGATCTATTCTCTTTGTTACAGATGGTGGAAAAGCAATGAAAGCTTAGTGATGTCAAACAAAAATGCCTTCAGATGTGACCTAGCATCGTCATGTTATAGAAATTGGATATGACGAATTACACATTCGAATACACAAGCCAGGATTTACAATGTCACTTAACAACCGGAGAAGGGTGTGGGAACACAACATACTCTGGACTGGATTGTGAAATCGACGCACATTCAATATATTACAACTGTGAACTAAATATTGATATTCAAAATGAAACACTTTACAATTGCAATGCGTGTATCAATGATACGATGGGCCTTGTTAACGGTAGTGTATGTAACTCTGGATTCAAGTTGAACATGTATACGGTGGTCTTCGAGAGTGCTTTAAAGAGTCTATGGTTACGACTGCCGTACTTCGACATTTGTGAATGGGACACCTTACTCTGTTATAGTGAGAATTTCAATAGGACGTTGTACATTGATGTAACTAATAGCAACATTGTAAATAACGTACTTGACAGTTTCCAATGTGGATGGAATTTCCGTAATACGTCGGACGATCCGTTAGGAAGTAAGACGGGGTATGATTGGAGTTTTCTATTTGTGATATTATTTATAGTCGCTGGGGGTGTCGGTAATATATTGGTGTGTTTGGCTGTGTGTTTGGATAAGAGATTGCAAAATGTGACAAACTATTTCCTGCTGTCGTTGGCGATAGCTGATCTGCTCGTCAGTCTATTTGTGATGCCAATGGGAGCGATACCTGGATTTTTAGGTGAGTTAAATTACACTTCAAATATTATTTAATACTGGCTGTATTGTACAGTTTTACCTGCGTGAATATACATATATAAATAAAGTATCCTATGTGCTAAGTTATAAAATAACTTGCCTGTGTACCAAATTTCATTGCAAATACATTGAGTAGTGTTTGCGTTAAAAAATATCAAACAACATCCATCCATTCATCCAAAAATCAAATTATTGCATTTTTTTTTATGCAACTTAGAATGACAAACAAGGTGACGGTCCACCTGATGGAAAGTCGTAACCGTCGCCTATAGACATGAGCAGTACCATGGACATAACAGAGTATACTGTTTTGCTTATGATACCCCCATGCGTTGCCATTCTTGAGGACTCAGATGTTATTCCTCTGTACTCTATAAATTCACGCCATATCCCACCCTTCAAACCGAAACACAGCCATGCAAACACAACTACTTCACGGTAGAAACACGAACGGGACAGAGGTACCCAAGCAATCGACTTTTGTACAAAGTCTCCCTCTGGTGATTTATTATATTAGGCTAATAATAATTTGTGAATATAATAAAGCATGCACTGCGATTAAATGCAAGTGTTTTTTAAATAGCCAAATTCTGTGCGAATACGTGTGCGTAAAGCCGAGAGATAGTTTTTGTAGTCAGCTTGAAAATAAATTTCTTGAGAACAGTATATAACGTTAACCAACAGCTCTTGCATGGATCTGCTTTCCTAGCATTTTATGGGAAATAAACTGGGTATTTTAACTTTCTAAAAGGACGTGCTTTCTACCGCGCGCAGTTAACTGCAATACGTCCGCCTTCTTACCAATATATGGGTTTAAAAAACTTTCAAATCAATGCTCGACTTTTGCTTTTTTGAACTGACTTCAAAAAAGGAGGAATATTTTTGTGTTTGTTATCCCATACGCGTAACTTCGTCATTTATAAAAAAAAAATATTTTCCAAAATTATTTCTTTCCCTGAAAGGATATATTTTATGCAACTAAGAATGATAAACAAGCCCACTTGATGGAAAGAGGTAACAGATTTTTTAGATTATATATTACCCGATATATTTTAAGATTAGTCGCATAAAAATTTTATCAAAGTTACTTTAGAATAAAATTTTTGGTTTCGCCAGTATTTGTTGTGAAAAACAATCTTAATTATTTTTAATTGTTTTATAAATGCCAACCACTTATTGGGTTTTTTAAAATAACCAAAAGCCGCATCCAATTTGGTGCAGTCGTTTTTGCGTGATACTGGAACAAACATACAGACAGACAGACAAAATTTCTAAAAACTATCGTTGTTTTGCTTTCTATTGTTGTTTTTAAAGCCTAATATTAATTTCTTCTAATATATTTGCCATATATAATTGAAATTTTATTGTATAAGTAAGATAATATAAAATAAAACGAAGGCCATTCTGTAACTTTACAGCTTTGTAAGAATTTTATAACGATTGTCCTGCATTTTTTTTTTTTTTTTTTTTTTTTTTTTTATACTACTTAGAATGGCAAACAAGCTGACGGCCCACCTGATGGAAAGTAGTAACCGTCGCCTATAGACATGAGCAGTACCATGGACATAATAGAGTATACTGTTTCGCCCATGATACCCCCCATGCGTTGCCATTCCTGAGGACTCAGGTGTTATTCCTCTGTACCCAGTAAATTCACGCCATATCCCATCCTTCAAACCGAAACACAGTTATGCAAACACAACTGCTTCACGGTTGAAACACGAATGGGACAGAGGTACCCAAGCAATCGACTTTTGTACAAAGTCTCCCTCTGCATTCCGGAATGTTAAATATTAGACCGAAAAATTTAACCCTCGGCCCTGATAGCTGAGAAATGCGGGACACGGGTTCGAATCCTGTCGTATTAGGCTCCCGTCGAGGAATTATTATTTTTTTATCTATTTTGTTTATTCAGGGTGAAATTAGACATCAAAGAAACATGTTTTAATAAACGATTATATATATATATATATATATATATATATATATATATATATATATATATATATATATATATATATATATATATATATAGAGAAAGAATTTGTACAAAAATCGTTTCTCTTAAAACATCTGTAAAGCCTTACTGCGGTTGCCAGTCCCCCTGTCAAGCATGTTTCCAAGCTTGGCAGGCGGACTGGCAAAATTCCACAAGCGGGCTTATGTTCAACAGTGCCATGCAGTTAAAGGCTGATATGATGTAGATGATTTTTATTATTATTATTAATAATAATTTTATTTATTATGATTTAGGGTATAAATATTTGATCTTATAAATTAAAAGTACCTTACAAAATCTGCTTAGGTCAAGCGTAAAAAATATTGAAAACATAAATAACAATAATTTAATTTAAATTTTTTTTGTATCATTTAACCATTACGAAGGTATATAATAATAATATAAGAATAATAAAAATATTAAGGAATGTAATATAATTTATTTTATTCAGCCAATTAGTTTAAATAGTACTGTAAGTTGGTTTATTACTCCTTCGTGTGTCTCGAATATTTTGCTGAAATAGAAATTTATTATTTGACAAAAACACAAGATACAATGGGCCCCACACTAGGCAAAAAAAAATAAAACTTTTTTCTTTCCTTCGTCATTAAATACAATGATCACAGCTATTCATACAATGCAAAAGAAAAAAATATTACTATACATAGAATTCTCCACCCCATACAAAACGTCATAGCTTAGAAAGGGCCCATAAAAGGAATATATTGCAACACTTTGCTACATTTAGTGGATCCTATGAAAGTTCGTGGGGCACTTTAATCGAAACCATTAGTAAGAAACATAGTAATAATACATAGTAATAGCACACTAAAATTATAGTCCCTATATATATCTTTTAGTAGAATATATCAGTATTGCCATAAAAAAGTTGGCCTTGCTATATATAGATTAATGTTAAATATATGTTTACTACAAGAGTGTCTGGAATCTATACGTATTTATGTCTATCTAAAGGAAGTATTGTTCTGTGGTCCTGGTATAACGAACCACCCTTCTTCTTTCTTTCCATTGGGTGTCGTAAGAGGCGACTAAGTGAACTTAGATGATGAGCAGCAGCGTTCCTCTTAAAATATCAGGAAGTCCTAACTGCGATTGCTAACCTGTCTGCTAAGCGTGGCGACTACTAGAAAAACCCTCCTTATAGGGGAAACCTATATTCAATAGTGGACAATTAGTGGCTAATATGATGATGATGAAAGGAAGTCTGTTTTATTGAAAGTAAAAGGTTTTTTAAAGTAATAAATTTTATTGTAATTAACTATAGCTTTTGATACATAATATTACAAATAAAATAATAATAAAAAAACAATACTACAATGTTATTATGAAGCGAAAAAAAATAAAACTTCTTAACAAAAGTCCATGATATACTGTCAGACATTGTTTTGAGCACAGCCGAAATGCTATGCATACAATGACAATGCCCCGAAATTACCTACTCTAGGAGGAACCCATTTAAATATTTACCAGAGAGAGGCTTTGTACAAAAGTCGATTGCTTGGTTACCTCTGTCCCATTCGTGTTTCAACCGTGAAGCAATTGTGTTTGCATGGCTGTGTTTCGGTTTGAAGGGTGGGATATGGCGTGAATTTACTGTGTACAGAGGAATAACACCTGAGTCCTCAGGAATGGCAACGCATGGTGGGTATCATGGGCGAAATAGTATACTCTGTTATGTCCATGGTACTGCTCATGTCTATAGGCGACGGTTACCACTTTACATCAGGTGGGCCGTCAACTTGTTTGCCATTCTAAGTTGTATAAAAAAAAAAATATTACGAGTAACCATACTCTTATGCCCATGAATAAAATAAGTGTATTCTTTCGATTGTACGATACTAGCTTTTACCCGTGACTTCACCGCGCGTCCTGGATAAATCACTGACCGGGGTAAAAAGAAGCCTATATCCTTTTCCACTTTATATACATAGTATTTCTATACCAAACATACTTATTTGTTAACTCATTAAAGCATTATAAGATAACATACAAACTCTCTTTCAAATTTGAAACATTTCTAAAGATTATTTAAAGTATTTGTACTTTGATTCACTGTCTTTATATAAATCACATAAATAATAAAATATAATAATAAAAAATCCCGCCTGCGCTATCAGTATACGCTGGCGGGGCACCAGTGATGGATGATTGGTGAAGATGAAGGCAGGTCATTTGGCTGTGACACAAATTAATCATAATGGTTTTCAGGGGGACCCACGTAGAGGTCGACATGATAGGTTGCTAGCAATGAGGCTGTTATTATCCATTATTAACAATCCCTTTCTCTTTTTGGACCTTTGCAGGTATATAGTACCTAACATACATACATGCTTTTTTATTGCCGCCATTTCGACGTGGATTGCACCACGTCATGGTCACGACAGGAAAGGGGAAAAAATTAACTGCATGCATTTTTAATAATATTGTTAATACTATAATCAATATAATGAAATATCATCAGGACGTCACAACACAAATAGTGAACATTGAATTTTCTTCTTCACCAGGGTACTGGCCGCTTGGCGTGGTATGGTGCAATGTGTACGTGACATGCGACGTGCTAGCCTGCTCCGCCAGCATCATGCATATGTGCTTCATCAGCATTGGCAGGTTTGTCTTAAAATATTCTAAAATTTTGTATATTTATTTACCAAATAAGCATGTAGTGGGGGGAACCGCGAGGAGGTCGACCTGGTTGGGTATATAGCTAGCAATGGGATATCAGTCTCCATTACTAACAATCCCAGTAATGGAGACTGAGAATCCCATTGCTAGCTATATACCCAACCAGGTCGACCTCCTCGCGGTTCTCCCTGGAAACTATCGTGGTTAATTCCTAGTGAATGGCTAACTGGCCTGTTTTCATTCTCATCTATCACCCTTCACTGGTGCTCCGCCAGCTTATCCCGTTAGTGCAAGCGGGGTTACCAAACAATTTTCACCCATAAAAAAAAATAGCCATGTAGTCTCGGCATAAAATGGGCAACTCCTTCTTTTTCCATGGGTGTCGTAAGAGGTAACTAAGGGATTTTAATTTCTTGCGAGTTCTTCTCAGCAGATAACAATATCCCGAACCTAGCAGTACAATCATAAAACAATGACGATTTAAAAGAGCTGGTAATCAAGTCTTTTTGAATAAAGATTGTTTATATTCGATACGGTCGAGGGTTGGGCAATAGTGTCCCTGGTGAAACATAATCAAGGTCTAACTGCGATTGCTAATTTACCTGCCAAGCATGGCAATTACTGGCAAAATGCTCCAAGAGGGTAGTCTATGTTCAGTTGGGGACAGATGATGATTTACCGATCTACTATCTAACTATATATCTTTTAACTGCGACTTTGTCCGGCTGACTGGGATATGTTTATTGATAGGCATAAATAGTAACCTACGTTTCTACATTCCATAGTACACGTAGTAGCTTTATACTAAATTATATAGGGATTGTTTAAGCCGTTAAGGCGTTACGATGTAATAAACAAATATACTCACTTTAAAATTTATAATATTAGTAAGGATTTAAACAACCTAGCTTTTGAACTGTAATACTCAGTTATCTCTTCCTGTCTCGTTAGAGATCTGATTTGAATATTAATTGAGATTTATATTGAAACAGCTTTGGATCAGTTAGAATTATCGTTTTTATTTTCTTCATTGAGTTCCATTGAATTTTTATATTTAAAATGTTTGATATATTATTATTATTTTATAATACATTTCACATTAGAATAAAAACTAAAGAAATACGTTAATTGTATGTAATTGTAGTATGTAGGTATATCAATATTAACATTCGAGTATTCTGACATATCTCTATGGCTGACTGGAAGAGAATGCTTTTAAGTCTGCAATGTACACATATATGTACTAATGAATAAATAAATAAACAAAATTTATAACTAAATCTTATATTTTCTCTCCATCCAAAGATTGCTTGGAAGAGATCGTTCTTAGCGATGAGGTCGCTCATTGCTTTCTCACTTTTGATCATTTGTAATTGTTTGTACCTATAATAAGTTTACTACTGTAATCTTTTAGAGGAAACAATAAACAGTATCTGTGTATTTTTTTTTTTTTTTTTTTACAACACAGGGGGCAAACGAGCATGCGGCTCACCTGATGGTAAGTGACTACCGCCGCCCATGGTCACCCACAACACCTACGGCATTGCAGGTGTGCTAAATAAATAATTTCTTAGTTAGATTATATCAGTGGCAAAATAAAGTTTAAATTTACTTTTAAAATAAATATATAATATTTGAAAATATAATCTGACTTACACAGATTTCACGAAGTATTGTAAACGAATGATTTAAATATTCACATTAAATATAATTTTAGGATGAAACTCTCTGAAAAAACTTTTATTATGAACAGTATCTGTGGTTCTTTCTCTTAATGAGTTCCCGATTGGGGTATTATTGCTAAAGTTTCATGCGCTCGAAACCCTTCAGATTTAACTTTTTATTTTCAACAATTTCCCAAAAAAGAGGTTTTTAATTCCATTGTATATTTTTGTGTGTGTTTTATCGTTTGCCGAATGTGAACATAAGTTAAAAAAATAATTTAAATTAAATTTAGAGTTTGCTGATTTGAAAGCAAATTATTATATTTCAGAATGACAGCTGTTTTTATAAAATCAAATAATATTTTGACATATTCATTATATTTATAAGAAACAAACAGTTCCTTTGTTGAATGTGTTTTTTAATCATCTAATATTGGATAAGGATAAAGAACCACATAGAGAATATATATATATATATATATATATATATATATATCACTCACGTGACTGTTTCATATTAATTTTGTGTCATTTAAGAGAGCAAAAGCAGAGCAAAATCCTGCTTATTTCCTAGCATCGTTATATGTATAGTAGATACACGATCCTGCGTTCTAAATTCTAATAGTTCCTTTAAATCTAATGTGTTAATGAAAAACCTCGTTGTTTGTTTGTTTTTAATGAGATTTATCAATATTAACTCTATCACGATTGTCGCCGTATATTTAACCGACTTCAGAAAGAAGATTCTCAGTTCGGTTGTAATTTTTTTTTATGTTTGTTACCTTATAACTTCGGCAATAACCGATTTAGAAAATTATGTTTTTTTATTTGAATGAACATACTTATGGACTGGTCTTTAAAATTTTTATCAAAATTGATCTAGTAGTTTAGGTCTGAAATCAAAATAACTGGTTGGTCACAATTGATGTCGTTATTTTATGGGACACAATCTTAGTTCATGGTACTGCTCATGTCTATAGGCGACGGTTACCACTTTCCATCAGGTGGGCCGTTAGCTTGTTTGCCATTCTAAGTAATATAAAAAAAAAATCAAAATTTTTATTTGTATGTCAGCAAACTTGTTTATGAGTTGTATATTGAAACGTCTGTACAAATAATTTATTTGCAAATCTTTTTTTTTCTAATCAAGATTAGCATGGAAAACCTGGGCCCCCATTTGGTGCGTATTCCGGTATATTACGCCGAGATACGGAAGGAGCCTTGCGCAAACATGATTAACGCACGCAATATATTTTGGCGAAATTACTTTTCACTTATTTCGCTTTGAATGAGTAATGAAAAAAGTCACATCACATATTCACGTATTGGATTAATTTAATCTTCCCCGCATCGTTATAACTCGAAATTTGAAATGAATATTCAATCGACTACTATAAAGGGTATGGTTTTTTTTTATGTGTGAAAATGGTATGGTAACCCCACGCTTGCGGAGTACTAGTGAAGGGTGATAGATGAGAATGAAAACAGGCCAGTTAGCTCATCATGATGAATTCATCAGGAATTAACCATGATAGTTTCCAGGGAGAACTGCGAGGAGGTCAACCTGGTTGGGTATATTGCTAGCAATAGGATTCTCAGTCTCCATTAGTAACAATCCCTTTCCCCCCAAAGGGGACGTTTCTTAATTCAAGTTTTTTTTCATATGATTTGTAATGTAATTTTATAAATTTTTTATTAAATATTAATAATATTATTATAATAATTATAAATATTATTATTACTTTAATAGTATATTCTATTTAACATCTCCCTTTTTATGGGGGTGAAATGTTTAGCCATGCGGGCCTTAGCCAAGCATAGTTGATATAGTTGACGATGACGATGATGAAGAAAGAAATTTTCTAACTATGCTACTGGTATTGAGGTATACACTTTCTGTAACAAATCTAATGTGTAGGAAGGAATTTGTAAAATATCTAACTGCTTGCGAAGATTTTTGGGTACGATTCCTTTGGGCGATAGTACTATGGGTATTTTTTTTAATGGATGATAATGCAATAGTAACCCTGGAATATTATAAATAGTTACACAGCATTTTTTTTATGGGTGAAAATGGTATGGTAACCCCGCCTGCACTAACGGTATACGCTGGCGGGGCACCAGTGATAGATGATAGATGACGATGAAAGCAGGTCAGTTATCCCATCATGAAGAATTCCACGAGAAGTAACCACGATGGTTTCCATGGAGAAGCAAGTGGAGGTCGATCTGATTAGTAACATTGCTAGTATTGGGGTTGTTAGACCCCATCGCTAACAATCCCTTTCCCCCCCAGTACTATGGGTATTATGTAGATGGTGTGCGCTTTCCATTGCTTCTTTACTCCTATTGCTAAGTATGTATATTTTGATAGTATTTCATTAGTAGTTCTTTGTATATTGTGTGTATTCGGAATAGATATGTCAACTATGTATACTACGTTATTGACTTTATCATGTATAGTTATATCGGCTCTATTGAAATTAATTATTTATTATAATTATTATTGCTTTTATCTTTTTTTCTGAGCATTAGTTGGTATACACGCTATTATACTAACATACCTACATATATTATACTTACGAGTCGTAACTGTGTGTGTGCGTGTGTGCGTGTGAGTTTGTGCGTGTGCGTGTGCGTGTGCGTGTGCGTGTGCGTGTAATTATTATTATATTATACTTTTACCTAGTTTTTATTTGATTTCGATTATTGTATTCGTAATATCGTTATGTTTCAGTACCTTGTAATTATACAACTAACCTTTCTAATATTATAAATGTGAATGTGAGTTTGTTATAACACCTTAACGGCTTAGCCAATCACAATTAAATTTGGTATACACATAATATATGAGATGGAGAAGGATATGTACTACTTTTTATCTCGGTCCGTAAACATACCGCGGCCACGCGGACGAAGTCGCGGGTAAAAATTAGTATTTCATAATTCATACTGAGTCACAGTTTTTAAATTAAATTGGAAAATTATTATGGGATCAATCTTTTATAAATTGTATTAAAATCCGTTTAGCAGTTTAATCTTTAGATTAAAATAACTGGTTTTGCCACATTCGAAATCGGTTCTTTTTATGAGACACAATTTTTAATTATATATTACTGCAGTATCTAATTTGCAATTTCTGATGCAATATGATTAGATATATAGAAATATATATTACCATAAACTTGCTTTATAGGTGCGATCTTATCCAGAAAATGCCTATTTTTCTTACTGGATGAAGAATGAATACAGTTTTACCTTGTTATTTATTTGTTGCCCTGTTTTTGCCGTGCTTCCAACAAAGGAAATAGGGCAGAAAAT